CCTTCCACAATCCTCCCCCAAACATGGTCAGGTCTGTCACAGCAACACCCCACTACACTGGTATCAATTTGCCTAAGTCAAGGTTTCTATTGCTGTGACAAAACACCATGACCACAGAGCATGTTGGGGAGGAAAGGGTTTATTAGGCTTATACTTCACTGAAGGAAGTCAGGACAAGAACTCCAAAAAGGGCAGGATCCCAGAAGCAGGAGCTGATGCGGAGGCCATGGAGAGGAGCTGCTTACTGGCTTGCGTCCTCTGGCCCAATCAGCTACCTTTTTATAGAACCCAGCACCACCTGCCCAGGGATGGCACCACCTACCATGGGCTTGACCCTCACTCAGTTATCACTAAATGAGAAAATACTTTATAGCTGGATGTCATTGAGGCATTTCTCATCAACTGAGGCTCCTTCCTCTCTAGCTTGTGTCAAGTTGACAAACAAAACCAGCCAGTTCAAATGGTCAGATGTGCCTGGTGGCTTTCAAGTAGACAGCACAGGTTGGGATGTGACAGTGTGGTGCATTTAGGGGAGATTTTTAGGATGGCTAACCTTTCTTCACGGTCCCTCCCACACCTCCTCCTCACAAGGACAGTTCTGAGATGTGATTTGAAGCCAGATGGTCCTTGAAGGTGGTCCTGGGTTTGATAATTTCCCCAGACAATGTTTCCAAACATCTGAGTGACCTGTCATAGCTGATGGAGTGTCACTGGCTCAGACCCACAACCTTAGAAGTTTCCTCAAATGAGGCCATGATCTCCATTCGAGAGATAGTGCAACAGGTGAGACACAGGCCATCCTGCTCGATAGTTTCCTGTTTCTATCCAATTGTTCTCTAATACATAATTCATAGCTTACATTTTTATGTGTGTGTGGTTTTTCAAGGCAGCATTTATCTATGTAGTCCTGGCTGTCCTGGAACTCATACTGTAGACCAGATTGGCCTTGAATTTGGAGATTCACCTGCCTCTGCCTCCCAAGTGCCAGGATTAAAGGTGTACACCACCACCACCCTGGCTTTCAGCACATAACTTAAATCCTTAAACAAGAGCAAAATGTCATTCCAATTTATTATAAAGTGACAATTCAAACCTTCCTTTGCTTTCTACCTCATTCACTGAGGCAGATCTTTTTAGCCAGCTTGATTTTGGGGTCCCCATCTCTGATTTTCAAGACTGGAATTACAGGTGGGGTACCATGCCTACCTGGCATTTACTTAGGGTCTGGGGATCTGGCTCTGGTACTATTGCTTATGCAGCAAGTGCTTTAGCTGTAGAGCCATCTCCAGACCTCAAGTATCTCCCAGGGAGCCACCAGCAATAATGTGGCAGAGATGTAACATGGGTGTCAAGCCTTGTTTAATTTGGTAGTTGTATGTTTGTTTGAGACAGGTCTTACTATGTCCCTCAGTACAAAGAGCCCATAAAAATGATCACATGGCCATTTTATGACACTATGTCTGTGGTGGTTACTAAGGAAACATCTCTCCAGAACAGATATTGTTCTGTGGTAGAGACAAACTACCCCTGACAAAGACATCTGCCTTGGCCTGGGTCTGGGTTGTTAGATGAACCTTTTTGAGTTCTTTGAAGACTAGTGTCTTAGTCTGTTTTCTTGCGGCACACAAATCACCAGAGGCTGGACACTTTAGAAAAAACAGGAGTGTGTTGAGATCCACTCTGATAGCTGAACCTACAAGATGAGTATAACCTTTTTTTTTTTGGCTCTGCTGGGATTCTCTGGTCACATCACAATATGGGAGACATGTGGCAGGGACAGATGGCAAGGTGGAACAGCCTTACTTAAAATAAAAATAAATCTGACTTATTTTAGATTCTTAAAAATGTACATGCCTGATTCTTCTTTCCACTCAAACTTCATGCCCATGGAAATGTCTTCTTACCTGGGGACTAAACCCTTTCCCTTGGGGCTTGGAATGCCTGTAGCAGTCAACAGTGAGGCTTTGACAACAGTTATGGTCAGAAGAAGCAGAAATAAACAAAACATGGTGACAGGACAGCATGGAACGATGTGAACTAAGAGTCCTGAGAGGGAGAGAACAGGCCCTAGACTGACCCGCATCTCTGGTTTCTCAGTGATGGATGTGGACACTTAGTCCCCAGACAGCATTTCTTTAGTTTCCTGTCTCAGAAGTCTGTGCAATGTTTTTTTTGTGTGTGTGAATTTTACTCAGGTTGACTCATACAGGTTCCCAGATGTTAAATCCCTGTCTAACCAACAGTCAGTACTATAGGATGGATGGGACCCCATTCGTTCCTGGTAGAGGGCATGGAAACCTCGTGTGTGATAAAAATCAATATTTGCATTAATTGAATCAGCTCTGACCTCCATACCAGGTGAGAGGTGGGTCCATGGGGAAATCACCATGGGTGTGAAGAGAGTATGTAGAAGAGATTTTTTTGCTTGCATCAAATCTGAGTCTGTCACACCATCCTGATATGCTTTTGGGAAGCTGAAAAGAACAGAAGAAGAAAAAGAAGGGAGGAAGACAGTGGAGACTGTTGTGTGACATTATTTCTGGGAGGCATGAACACATTACTCATTCAATGCAGGGTACCAATGGCAGGCCAAAGTAATGGTACCACTGAATCTAACTTTGCAAACCAATGAATTTATTGGATTCACTGACAAGAGTATGAATGAAGACATCATTTACAGGAACATGGATGACTCAAAGACATCTACATACCAAAAACTCACCCCACCATGGGTGATGACTCAAAATCTAGAACCCTGGAGCTCACTTCAGGACTTAGAGGAAGTTCAGCAGTTGGAATTCTCTTCCTTAGTAGTCCTTGCTGCATATACAGCCTTGTGGTAAGGGACCTTGTTAACCAGTAAGTTTCAGGGACTTCCTGAGACTTGTGAATTATTTTCTATATGAATCTTGCAGAGCCACTCTTTAGAATGGAGTCTGATCAAGCTCTCTTCCAGGATGGCATGTTTGATTCAGAGGACATTGCTACACAAATGGGATGGCCAGGGGATGTTGTCTGCATGAGGAAGTCTTGCTGTATAGTGGTGCTTAGGGGACTCAGTGCTATGGAGCCTGAGCAGCCATGTAGGCATCATTAGCCAGAGTAGCACCACCCTGGGCTCCCTGATATGGGAAATGCCACCTTGATTTGTTACGTGATCATTATCTTGGTTGCCTATGTGACTGTCCATCACCATGTTTGGTTGGCATCTTTGCTTCCCCAAAAATTTACCTAATTTTTTATTTATATGTACGTACTTGCATTTCTGTTTGTGAGTCTGTGTATGTGAGTGCAGGTGCTCATGGAGGCAGAGGGGTCTGCATGATTTATAGACTAGTGTGATGTGCCTACCATAGGTGCTGGGAACCAAACTCAGGCTCTCAGTCACTTGCTCTGCATCCTCCATGCTCCATGTGGCTAGTTGGCTGGTCAGCCACCCCAGCAACTCTCTACTCTCTCCCTTCAGCATTAGGATGACAGCCACAAACATGCATTGGAGGAAAAAGCAGCCTCTTTATCAACTGGTCTTGGGAAAGTAAGATTTCCACATGTAAAAGAATGAAACTAGATTTCATCTGTCTCAATTTATAAAAAAAAACTCAATTCAACATGTATTCAAAGCCTACATATAAGTCTTGACAAGTTGAAAGTATCAGAGAAAAATGTGGGGAAAACACTTGGAGATAAGTAGATAGGCAAAGCTGTTCAGAACGGGAATCCAAAGAACAGATATAATCCCAATTATTGACAAAGGGATTGCATAAAATCAATGATCTTGAGATTAGAGAGATGTCTCAGTGGATAATGACCTAAAACAAGGAAACTCAGATGAGTTGGAAACTCCCAATTCAACCTAATGATAAGAACACTTCCTTGACAAGAAGTTAACGTCATACTGAGAACATACACCAACTCATTTGGCCTTGTGACTGTATGACACACATCTATTGATAAAACTTCCCTCCCCAAAGTTCCCTTTTATCCTATAAAGCCCAACCCCACCGCACCGGGACACAGTCTCCACTACCTCAGAGAGACTGCTGACCTTCACTGTTCTGATTACAGCACAGTTCACTTCTGCAGAGGTTGGTCTCCTCTACCTTTAATTTCACTCTTTGCCACCAATCCCAACCTAACAGTTAAGCACAAAGACTACTTCTTCAGAGTTCCAAGGTTTTATTCCCTACCCAGACATGGTGGCTCCTCTGGTTCCAGGAAATCTAATGTTTTCTCTGACTTCTGTAGGAACTGCATGCACCTGGTACACAGACGTATACACAGACAAAACACCCATATACATAAAACTAAGACTAAATATATCTCATTTATTTTTTAAAATAGAATAATTCTGGAAAGCAAAGAATACAATCAGGAGGGTGAAGGGAGACCACAGAGTGAGAAAAAAATCTTTGCCAACTACACACAGACAAGAGATTTACACATAGGATATATAAAGAACTGTAGAAATTAAACACCCCAGTATACCATCCACTCAATAAGTGGACTGCTGAGCTGGATAGAGAGTTCTTGAAAAAGTGTTTAACATCCTTAGCCACCAGGGAGATGCAAATTAGAACTACTTTGGACTCCATTTCACTCTAGTCAGAACAGCTTGTCAGTAAGGGGACACTGACAACACTCTAGCAAGGATGTTGGGGAAGAGGAACCTCATTCATTCCTGTGGGATTGTAAATTTGTCCAAGTGCTGAGGAAATCAGTATGGAAGTTCCTAAAAACACTGAAATTAGAATTAGCATGTGACCCATCTCTAAAACTCTTAAGTATAAACCCAAAGATTCTAAGTAAACACGTTATAGGGATGCTTAATATGCCAGTTTAAATGAGAAATGTACCCAGAGGCTCATGTATTTGGACACTTGATCCTCTATTGGAGGAGCTGTTTTTAGGGACTATCATGGAACCTTTAGAAAGTGGAGCCTTGCTGGAGGAGGTAGGTCACTGGGGATGGGCTTTGAGACTTTCTAGCCTCGCCCCATTACCTTTATCCTCTATTTCCTGTGTGCAGATGAAATATGATCTGTTTTCAGCTCCTGCTGCCATTTCATGCCTTCCTTGCCATGATGGACTTTATCCCTCTGGAACTATAAGCTCCAAGAAACTTTCTTAAGTTGCTTTTGGTCATGGTATTTTGTCTCTGCAACAGAAAAGTAGCCAATATGATTATATATTTATGTGTATTGTTGTACTATTCACAACAACCACGAAAAGGAAGTAGCCTTGATGTTAATGAACAGGTTCATGGGCAAGACGAATATGGTGCCTAGACACAATAAAAGTATGCAGCCATGAAGAAAAATGAAATCATGACATTTTCAGGAAAAGGAATAAAAACTATTTTAAGTGAAATAAGCCAGACTCAGAAAGACAAATCTTGTATGCTTTCTATTATGTGTGGGGTTTACATTTAAAAGTGTGTGTGTGTGTGTGTGTGTGTGTGTGTGTGTGTGTGTGTGTGTGTGTGT